GGTGACCATGATGGTGCTGGGCTGATGGTTGGGCTGGATGATTTTGAAGGTCTCTTTCAACAGTAATGATTCCATGATTCTGTGATAAGAGCATTTATCCAAAAATCATGAATGAGAACTGGAGGCAGAGCATGCATTTTGCTCTTAGGCAGATCTAGAAATGTGGCTAGAAGGAAAAGGAGTCTGGTTTTCCTGAAGCAGAGGCTTGGTGCCAATTGCTTGTGTGTGCTTGGAATAGACAATGGATCTCCCACAGGAGACCAAAGCAGCACAGAATAACCCCAGGCTGGGGGGCCCTGCTGGAGAATAGCTCTGAGGAGAAGGACCTGGGAATCCTGGGGGACAACCAGCTGTCCCTGAGCCAGCAGTGAGCCCTGGGGGCCAAGAGGCCAGCAGGATCCTGGGGGGCAGGAGGAAGGGAGGGGATCCTGCCCCTCTGCCCTGCACCTGGAGTGCTGTGTCCAGTTCTGGGCTTCCCAGTTCTAGAAAGAAAAGGAACCACTGGAGAGGCTCCAGGGAGGGCTACAAAGATGATGAGGGGACTGATGGATCTCTCTGCTGAGGAAAGGCTGAGGGAGCTGGGCTAGTTCAGCCTGGAGAAGAGACCCCTGAGAGTGGATCTCAGCAATGTGCACAAACACCTCAAGAGTGGGTGTCAAGAGGGTGGACCAGACTGGTTTCAGTGGTGCCCAGCAACAGGACAAGGGGCAACAGGCACAAACTGACACACAGGAGGATCCATCTGAACATGAGGAAAAACTCCTTCACTTGGAGGGTGCCAGAGCCCTGGAACAGCTGCCCAGAGAGGCTGTGGGGTCTCCTTCCCTGGGGATACTCCAAACCCACCTGGGTGTGATCCTGTGCAACCTGCCCCAGGTGACTCTGCTTGAGCAGAGGGGATGGACCAGGGGATCTCCAGAGGTCCTTTCCAAGCACAACCACTCTGGGATTCTGTGATTTATGATTCAGTAAGAAGGGCCCTGTCAGTGTCTGAATCTCCCACAGTTTTGCTCCAGGAACTCACTGTTACTCAATTTAGCCCATGAACTGACTCAGTGAAGCAGCAACCTATGAAAATGGGAAGATGCTCAAGAATTAAATTAACTGGATCACAAAGAGAGGGAAGTGACATTTGGGCTAATGGATGGAGACTACAATTAAACTGGGAATATCTAACATCTGAACTTCTCCCTGCATCAGTGCACGCAGACACGCATCTGAACATGTGTAAACACATCTCCCTGTGTCTCTCCATTAGGCTGATAAACACCATGTGGGGACTGTGGTGGTCACTGGCTTAGCAAAAACCTTTTGAGTGTCACAGGGAGGGAAATGGAGCAGACACAGCTCGTTCTAACTCACAGCTCAGTGTTCTTTGGTGCACAAAACTCCTTCCTCCCTACCCAGAGGAGACAACACACGTCAGAGAAACCACATTCCTGACTAACTTGGGAGTGGGACAGCAGAGATCACAGAATCCCTGTGGCTGGAGACACATCTGGGATCACCCAGTCATTGCCCCCTGCTCAAAGCTGGGTCAGGCAGCACAGGTTGCCCAGCAACATGCTCGATGTCTCCAAGGATGAAGACTCCACCAACAATCTGGGCAACTTCTTCCAGTGTTGGACCATTCACACAGCAAAAAGTACTTCTGTTCAAATGGAATTTCCTGTATTTCAAGTTGTCCCCATTGCCCTTGTCCTGTCACCAGACACCACTGAGAAGAGTCTGGTCTTCATTCCCCACTACCAGGTGTGATGATGGTGAAACCCCCAAGTCATCTCTTCTTGAGGCTGAACAATTCCCAGACACGTCTGCTCCACTTCCAGCTGCAGAGGGCAGAGCCAAGCTGCCCCTCAGAGCAGCTCCAGCTGTGGGATCCAGCTGTTCCTGCTTCCCAGGATACAGACTGGCCATGAGGAACAAAGAGACACTTCCAAACTGAATGGTACCCCTTGGAGAGATTGGAAGGCTTGGGAGAGGAAGGAGGTGCCTGGAGTCTACAGGAAACTCCCTGTCTGTGCCACACCTCTATTACCCTGCCATCCTGCCCCAGGATAACCACTTGTGTTGGACAACTTCATCAATCCATCCCCAAAGCCACAGCTGGGGAGTTGGACAACACAGAGGAACCAACAGAAGGCCCAAGAGGTGATTCATCCCCCCTGGAGAGACTCAGGAGGTGCTGCTATCAAACAGGGTGAGCTGGTTGGACCTGCACAGGTCCTGCTCCTGTCAGAGGTTGTGCTGCTGCAGCTCTTGGGCACCTCTCACACCCATCTGACAAACCCAAGTGATAAAACAGGCTTTAAATAAGTGTTCAACCCAACTGCCAAGTCTCATCCCACTGGAATGTGCCTCCTGTGCAATGTCTTCAGGTTTCTGCACTTCAGCTGGAGATGCTCCTTGTTGAGATGCCAGAGCCTCTCTCTGCCCACCCACTGCTGGGAGAAGTGCCCATGTGAACCCACAGGATGGGAAGTGCTTCTCATCCAACTAACTTCCCATCTAACTCCACCTCACATCTTGGAAAACAAGGCAAGTTTGACTGCTCAGGGCAAAAGAAATAGAGAGCAATTGAAAACTCCTGAGAAGGAAATCTGGTTTCTGACTGGATGATCCCCAGAGAATCCCACAGCTGGGGACAGACCCTGCAGTTCTCCCAAACTTCTCAAGGAGAATATAAAAACTGATCAAATTTTCCTTCAGACCTGACAGAAACATCAAGGTGGGAGGAACAAGCTACTAAGACGTGCATTTGTTCCCACCTGTATTTTTTTCTGAAGCTCTTTGTGGATTCTCAGAGTGCCAAAGCACTGGGATTGCATATTGGACAAAAACTGATAGAAACTTTTGGGTCTGCTCTTTGTCTCCATCTCTTTCTCATGGACATGGACACTTTGAACTGTTGTTAACAGTGGTTCAGGTGTGACACCATCAGAGAGCAAACAGACTCATGGCCCAGGCAGAGCACAATAAAGCTGTCCAAGAGATTTCTGGCACATCTTGTCTTAGGCAGAAAATGTCAGTTTGTCAAAGCTGAGACACACAAGCCCAAGACTGTTTCAGAGAAACTTAGAATCACACGATGGTTTGGGCTGGAAGGGACCTGAAAGCTCATCCTACCCCAACCCCCTGCCATGGGCAGGGACACCTTTTGCTACACCAGGTTACCAGGAAAAACTTCCTTTTTTCCTGTTTCTTTTTTCTTTTCTTTGTGATATTTTGGAACAGTCTAAGACTCTGCATTGATACTTGAAGCACGAGAAACAAAATCTTGCTGTTCCCATCTCAAAAAAAAAAAAAATCCAACCAGAAAACCCAACAACCCTTTTTGCTAACAGTGTTAGTTAATGAGGGAAAAAATAAAGATTAAAAAAATGAAAATGAAAAAGCACCAAGAGACAAGAAACCCTGACTGGTGCAGAAGAGGGAAACTGGTCATGTAAGAGCTGTGATTCCTGGAGATGTTTTGTGATTTGACTCCCACTCATGGGACTTTAACACTTTCAGGAGTGGGGATGTCAGCAGCACCTTCCCCAGGTTCCCTCACACCCTCAGCCTGGTGGTAGATCCATGACTGCTGCTGGTCTGAATAAAGACTTGAAAACTGCTCTCACAGCTTCAGGGTCCACTTTTGCTGCTGTTTCTCTCTTGCAGTGGTGAATCAACACGACAACCAGGTATGGAACTGCAGCTCCACAGCCCTGGGATCAGCTCTGCTGGGACACATGTTGGGACATGTAATTTCTGCAGTTCTTCTGGTTTAATCATAGAATCATAAAATGGTTTGGGTTGAAAGGACCTTAAAGCCCATCCTGCCATGGGCAGGGACATCTCCCACCATCCCAGGTTGCTCCAAGCCCTGTCCAACCTGGCCTTGGACACTCTCAGGGATGGAGCAGCCACAGCTTCTCTGGGCAACCTCTGCCAGGGCCTTACAATGCTCACAGCCAAGAACTTCTTCCAATTTAACCTTCAACATCTTACTAATTGCTCTGATGGCCAGAAAAGGTGGGAATAGATGAAATAAAGACCCTTCAGGCCCTTGTTGCTCATCTGTTAGCACTGAAACAACACATGGCGGGTGACACTGATCCTCCACAGCATCACACCATCACTGTAGAAAAGAACCCTTCTCTTTGCATTACTGAATGGAATAAGGCTCAAAAAATGCATATATCCTTGTTTCCCCACCTCAAAGCAGATGCCACTATTGCAGCCCTCTGTATGAAAAGCTCTCGAGAAGCTCAGCATTGTTTACCTTAAAGGGAGCTTGCAAAACAAAAAACAAAAAAAAACCCACAAAAATTAGGATCAAAATATCAAGGGCATTTAATTTCAATTGAAAATCATGCCTGCAGGCTCAGATCAGGGCTCAGAGCTTTGTCTTAATCTAATTTTATGCAGACAATTCAGTGATAATAGAAGTTTATATAATCCACATCAAGGAAATCAGAGAGGTTCCCAGGACCTGTAATGAGAGCTGACATCACTGACTGCACATTGCAAACCCAGGCACTCACTAAATAATTGTGGCTCCAGAGAGCGCTTGACAGAGACAGAGCTCCCTCCACACCCTCCTGGGCTCCAAAGCATTTTGTTGAGCTGTGGTAAGAGCCTCAAACATTCCTCTGGTTTGGGCTGCACCAAGGAACCAGTCCCACTGCAGAGAGGCTTCAGTCAGTGGGTCCCCAGCTCACTAAAACACAGGGTGGATTTTGAGCAGCAGGCAGAGAACGGGTCCAGCTCTGAAGGACAGAGCTCTTCATTGATTCATGAGGCAAATCAAGGCACAGGGAAATGCAGCACAACCTCCCCCCAACTGCACACCCCAGAGAGGAAAACCAGACTGACAGTGCCTGGGGAAAGCAGCAGGACACAGGGAGAAGGGGCTGCTTTGGGCACACAGGGGACACCTGGGCTCAGCTCCCCAAGCCAGGAAAGATGTGACCTCACAGAGGGATCAGCATGGGACAGCCTGGCCAACAACCCCTTACCTGAAGGATGACCCAGTGCCCCTCCTTTGCAGCCAGATCCAGGGCTTGTTCAGCAACCACCTCTTGGCCTTGTCCCAGGGACACATTGTGGAGGTTCCTGTTGTTGAATGTAAAGCCAAGTTTCTTCCCTGAAAGAAAGCAAGGAGTGAGTTGAGCACTGTTGCCTGGTAGGGCTGGGTAGAGCTTCCTGGCCCCAAAACCCTCCTAGAAGAGCTCTCACTCTCCTGAGAACAGTTCTTGTCTCATTCTCTTGGCTCTCACCCACTCCTTGCCCAAGTGCTCAAACAGCAGCAGCTTCTTCCAAACTTTTAATTACACACATCAACACAAAGGTATCTTGTTACAAAGTGCTTCTTGTTTAAAGAACATTATTCCCATGAAACCTCGTGTAAAAACACTTTTTACAGTAATAAGAAATGAACAACTTTTCCTGCTGATGAAATGAGCTTTGAACACCCCCAGCTGAGAGGGGAAAGGCCCCTGTGATGTGGGTTGGGTGCAGCAGGGAGAGAAGGCAGGTGCATGAAATCTGTGTGAGCTTCCCCTGGCTTCAGGAAAGGCCTCCCAGGTGTCTTGGATGTGGAGAACATTTCCTCATGGGACATCCTGGGCAGGTGTGGAGTTGCCTGTGTGTGCGTGGGAAGGCCCAGGGTCAGTGGAGCAGCAAAGCCCGTGGGAACAGGAGATCCAGGAGCCACTCAGACCATGTCCCACTGCCCCTCCTGCATCCCTCTGCTTGTGCAGGCTGGGAACCCCCAAACCCATGTCATGGACTCCCCTGCCCTGGAGGAAGGATTTAGTTATTTAGTGTTCCTCCCTTTAGACTGTGATGATTCTTCAGACTCCTCTGATTTCCCTGTAGCATCCCAGTGCCTTAGATCCTTTCAGTGATCCTGGCTGAAGATCAGGTTAGTTCTGAATCTGTCTGTCAGTCAGTGGTGGAGGATACCACTTGCTCTTCATCTCACAGGAAAAGCAACTGCCTGGAACTAGCTCTCTTTGCTCTCCACTCAGGAACTGGGTGTTCCTGAGAAGGCAAGTCCAAATTTGTGCTGCCAGGGGGAAGCAGCCCCACAAACATCCCCATAAACATCCTACACCATCACAGGATGGATTTGGCTCAGCCAGGCAGTCAGTTCATGTGTCCCCATGTGCTGATCCCTTGGGATTGCCTCCACTTACCTCTGCATGCAGGTTTGCTTTCCTGCAGACAGGGCACTCTCCATTCCTGATTTCTGCTCAAAGCAGGCATGTGTTATAGCAACAGAAGGAAAAGGTTTATCTTACAAGACTTAGGAACCATCTCGTGGTACAAGATTGGAAACAGATGGGAAACAACCATCCAAACTCAAGCTCTCTGCTGAGCCTTCCCACAGCCCTGTGGGACACAGCTCTCCACATTTTTAGAGTTCCCACTTCTCTTTCCCACCATCTCTGACTGCTGCCAACTTTGAAAGCCTCTAATCTCCTCCTGTGCCTTCAAGACCCAGTCACTCAAGAGGGAATGGGGCAAATCACAGAAGGTAGGGCACTCCCCCAAACTCGGGGATTAATAATAAGAAATATCAGTTGTTATTTCCACTTCCCAGACAGGAACAGGACTGAGAGGGATAACAGAGGGTCTGTGCTGGCTGCAGAGGAGGGGACAGGCACTCAGGCTGCCCCAGGATGTGGGGAAGCTTTTGGAGCCCCCAGTGTTTGCTGCAGGGCCCTCCCCATGTTGTCAAGGAAAGGTGCCATGAGAAGCAGCACGTGGAAGAAGCCAAATTCCATTCCCAAAGATTATCTGGCCAGACCTGCACTTTAATAAAACCTAATGAAGGACAGAAGAAATACCAAGAATCACCCCAGCCCACCTCAGCTGGGCAGTGAGCTGCCAGTGCAGCTGCTCTGGAGCAATGATATTATTTCACTACATTTACTTTTTCTTTTCACTTTTTCTTGCTGTAGCTGTTCTAGCTGACCAACCCCAGGTGCTCAGCTATGCTCAGCTTCACAATTCCAATTAAGCCACTTGTGGTTGGATTTTGGTGCTTTATTTCCCAAACAAGAAAAGACCACAGTGAGAGACAGAATCACCAACGTGACCCAGGGAAAGGGAAGGGAAGCCAGGACCACGACAGGAGCTTCCTGGGGTGGGTCCCTTTCATTACCAAAAATGACACCTGGTTTGGGGGGCAGAAAGAGCCTGAAACACAAGGTAAAGCCCAGGAACTCCCCACGAGCTGAGCTGCCTGTGGCTGAAGCTGCACCAGGCTTTAAAAGCTCTGAGAGCTGCTCGTGGCCACGTGGGTAAAGATTGACTCAAACATTCTTTTAGGATGACCCAGAAGGTGCATCATAGAGAGGAAAAAGAACCCAAAGGTCAGCGTTCCCACACCAGTCCCCTGGGTGATGGCTGTGTTCAGAGGGACTGGTCCCTGACAGAGCTGCCAGCCTTGATGGTGTTTAGTCCTGAGACCAATTCATTAAACACCAGCCAGCAGCTCTGCTATGGCTGGGCTGTGATTGGAGATCTGTGGAGCACATTGCTGGGCAAGAACAGACACCCAGTGAGCACAATGGCAATATGGGGCAGCCAAAGACGTCAATCCCCTCTGCTCCAGAGGGATGTTCAGGCTGAAAACTGTTGGTTTTTCCCTAGGGGAGCTGAGACCCAGAATAAATTCTCCCCATTGTGAGCTTTAGAGCACAGACAGTGGCTGCAGCTGCAGGGGCACAGGGGGGGTCACTGCCTTCTCCAGGAAGTCATCCCAAATTCTCTGCCCTGGGGTGGCCTCACCTCAGTGTTGGGGCAGTTTGGGGGGACACAATGGAAGGAGAGATTGAGCCATTGGAGAGTGTCCAAAGGAGGGAACGAGGATGGGGAAGGGCCTGGATTTGAAGGCGTGTGAGGACACTGAGGGCACTTGGTGTGTTCAGCTGGAGCAGAGGAGACTGAGGGGAGACCTCCCTGCAGTTCCAACTGCCTGGGCA